ACAAGCGCAAACCTCAGCTCCAGTGGACCAGATCGGCAAACTTTCTGTTGCTGCTGGTACACAGGTTAGACCCACCAGCCTGCTGTGACACCTGGCACTGAGGAATGCGTGCAAGCCATATTTGAGCAGCTACAGCTGCCTAAAGTCAGCCTCCGGGGCTGCTGCCAGCTCTCCTTCTGGAGAAGTGGTCCCCATTGGCGAGGAGTGAGGCAGAGGGACCGTGGGGTGACTAGCAGCTAATTCTTGTCTCATTAATGGTCTGATAAACAGAGATAGAGCAGGGCAAGGAGGGTCTGAGTGAACGAGCAACTGTACAATTAAATAAGATTAAATAAAACAGTGTATTGCTGGGGTTACTGTATGAAGTGCGTTTATATGCATGTCGTCGTCTGGTAGACTGTCTGACTAGCTGTGTGTATGATCTGAAAGCATGGGCAACTTAAAGCCGAAGAGAAGAGGAGAGAAGAGACATCTGGGTCAACATCCAGTGGAGAGAGCTGAATCATCAACATCAAAGACTAAAACCTGGTAAAGATTCATCCATGTTCAACACACAATTAGTCATGTATCCACCTACGTAACAGGTAGGTGGATACATGAATATATTGTGTATATACGTGTGTGTGCTGGGAGAGAAGAGAGAGCAGCAGAAAGAAGATGAAGAGGGAAAGCAGGGTGGATGTTGGACATCTTTATGAGTCCTCCATCTAATGAAAGTCATTAGAGCGAAGCAGCAAAATCAGTCAAATAAAGGAAAGAGGTTGCTGCTCAGTCTTGGATGAAGGCCAAAACCACATCTACACACCCTAATTCACTCAGTGTGTGTATGTGTGTGTGAGGAACAGAGAGAGCGATGAGATAGATATAGAGAGGGGTGTATTGATCGGTGGGTGTGTTGAGAAGGGACCTGAACCACCACAGCACCACCTCTGCCGCTCACACACACAGACACAATAAGGTCTTCTCTATATCTTCAGGTACATTATGTGTGCCAGTGCTGCTGGCTGTAGTGCTGCTCATTGATCGGCTGCTTTCTCTTGAAAAAAGTGATTCCTCTGGTCGAGTGTCAGGAGACATGAGTGTGCTTAAACCTTCAGGTCAGTATTTCAGAGTACATGAGATGTGACTCACTTTATACCGGGAATGATTTCTTTACTGTTTAATAACCTGAAAGTAAGATTCGTTGTGTTTTTGTTACCTTAGAATGAGCCGCTTATATCTACATATGGAGCAGGTCCTCGTCTACAGAGATCACCATGTTGCACAGTCATGTCTCTAAAGAAGCCCAAAGTGGACAAACCAAACACTGGCTCCAGATAGGGCTATCGTAATGAGAAACCCCTCCACAGCGAGCAGCGTCACAAAACACTTCTCTTTTTTTTTTAACATGAAACTGCAGTGTTTGTCAGGGTTTATCAGGGTATCACACTGCTCAGCCTCCTGGGTAAAATTTATTCCAGGGTGCTGGAAAGGAGGCTCCGACCGACTGTTGAACCTCGGATTCAGGAGAAGCAATGTGGATTCCGTCCTGGCCGTGGAACAGTGGACCAGCTCTTTACCTTTGCAAGGCTGCTGGGGGGTCGTGGGAGTTTGCCCATCCTGTCCACATGTACTTTGTGGACTTGGAGAAGGCTTATGACCACGTCCCATGGGGGGTCTTGTGGGGGGTATTGTAGGAGTACGGGGTACCACGCTTGCAGTTACAAGCCATCCAAACCCTGTATGATGAAAGTGAGAGCTGTGTCCGCATATTTGGCACAAAGTCAAACACGTTCTCAGTGGGTGTTGGCCTCCTCCAGGGTTGTCCCTTGTCACTGATCCTGTTTGTTATTTTCATGGACAGGATCTCGAGGCGCAGCTGGGTCAAGGAAGGTGTCCAGTTTGGTGACCTCAGAATTGCGTCTCTTTTTGCAGATGATGTGGTTCTGTTGGCTTCATCACACTGTGACCTCCAGCATGCACTGGGGCGGTTTGCAGCTGAGTGTGAAGAGGTCAGGATGAGAGTTAGCACCTTCAAATCTGAGGCCGCGATTCTCTGCTGGACACCAGTGGATTGCCCTTCCGGGTTAAGAGAGAGTTTCTGCCTCAAGCGAGGGAGTTCAAATATCTTGGGGTCACAAGTTCACGAGTGAGGGTAGAATGGAGCGTGAGATGGATCTGCGGTGCGGTGCGGCTTCTGCAGTGATGTAGGCACTACGCCAGGTCGTGATGGTGAAGAGTGGACCTGAGCCAGAAGGTGAAGCTTTCAATTCACTGGTCCATCTATATCCCAACCTTCAGCTATGGTCATAAGGTCTGGGCAATGACCGAAAGAATGACATCGGGGGTACAAGTGGCCAAAATGAGTTTTCTCTGTGGGGTGGCTGGGCTCAGCTTTAGAGATAGGGTAAGGAGCTCGGGCATCTGGAGGGAGCTCGGAGTAGAGCCGCTGCTCCAGTTGAAGGTCAGTTGAAGTGGCTCGGGCATCTGATCAGGATGCCTCCTGGATGCCTCCTGTTAGAGGTGTTGCGGGGACATCCAACTGGTACGAGGCCCTGGGGCAGACCCAGAACACACTGGAGGGATTACATATCTCATCTGGCCTGGGAGCGCCTTGGGGTCCCCCAGGAGGAGCTGGAAAGAGTTGCTGGGGAGAGGAATGTCTGGGGTGCTTTGCTCGACCTGGTGACCACTGACCCGGCCCCAGATAAGCGGATGAAAATGGATGGATGCAGTGTTTTTACCAGTTGAAATCACCTGGTTGATCTGTTTTAAGATTTTAAATGTTGTCAGACTTCTCTTTATCAATATCCATTTAAATACAGAGGACCATCTCTTTGGAACAACCTTCTTTCATCTCCACAATCATCATCTACATTACTGTTATTCAAAAAACATCTGAAAAGGACTCTAATTTGCAACGACTCTTAACACTGCATTAATTCATTTGTAATTTGTTTTTGTTTGTTTTTTGTAAATTGTACATCTCTAATCATTTTGTAATACTTCTTAGTCTGGAACTCTTGTTCAGTTATACCATCTTCACTTTTATCTTTTTATGTGTGATTGTTGTTATTTAGTAGGGGAAGTATCTTCATAAGCCGTTTTTCACTTCTAACCTCTCCTGCACAATGTTTTCACTTTTAATTTCTGTTTTTCCTGTATTTTCTATACATGTAAGTGCAAATAAACTAAACTAAAACCTCTGTGGAAAATTTAGGTCTTGGTAAAAACCTCCTGATAAACTGTGAGGACACAATAAGTTATCAAAGAAAGAAGTGAGCACACAGCTGGGTGAGCAGCCTGTCTCTGAGATGCCAAACAGTATAGAAGAAACACTGATTTGTAAAGTCAAACTGCTTTATTCAGTGTTTTTACTAGATTAAATCACCTGGTCCCTTTGTTTTGGAGAGGAAGAGACCTCAACAAATAATTAGACTAATTAATAATAATTAGGCTTAAAAACCTCCTGAACAATGGACACTGAAGGAATTGTAGTTAGTTTAAGCTCGCTAGTTGTAATCTGCAGTCCTAGCTGCTAGATGCCCCTAATTCTCCCTAAATCGCGCACATTGGACCCTGAAATAAGGAAAATAAGTCAAATCCATGTTGACAAGAGTGACGATGAATTATTTTCCACTGAGTAATTAATTCAGTTCATGTAAGCCTAACACACATTCCTCTGTTGAGTGTCCAGCATGGATTATAGCCTAACTACTGAGATTCCAAGTTCTTCCTACTACACATAGATCTTAAACCCTTAATTCAACAAGGTGCTGGAAACATTCCTCAGAGATTTTGGTCCATATTGACATGATGACATCACACAGTTGCTGCAGATTTGTCGGCTGCACATCCATGATGAGAATCTCCCGTTCCAGCACATCCCAAAGGTGCTCTATTGGACTGAGATCTGGTGACTGTGGAGGCCATTGGAGTACAGTGAACTCATTGTCATGTTTGAGATGATGTGAGCTTTGTGACATGGTGCGTTATCCTGCTGGAAGTAGCCATCAGAAGATGGGTACACTGTGGTCATAAAGGGATGGACACGCTCAGCAACAATACTCAGGTAGGCTGTGGTGTTTAAACCATGCTCAGTTGGTACTAAGAAAATCTCCCCCACACCATTACACCAACAGCAGCAGCCTGAAGCGTTAATACAAGGCAGGATGGATCCATGCTTCCATCTGAATGTGGTTTTTCCAATCTTCTATTGTCCAGTTTTGGTGAGAAAACCGTGTGAATTGTAGCCTCAGTTTCCTGTTGTTAGCTGACAGGAGTGGCACCTGGTGTGGTCTTCTGCTGCTGTAGCCCATCTGCTTCAAGGTTGGACAAGGTGTTGTTGCTTCAGAGATGGTCTTCTGCACACCTTGGTTGGAACCAGTGCTTATTTGACTTCCTGTTGCCTTTCTATCATCCTGAACCAGTCTGGCCATTCTCCTCTGACCTCTGGCATCAACAAGGCATTTTGGCTCACTGGATATTTTCTCTTTTTGGGACCATCCTCTGTAAACTCTAGAGATGGTTGTGCTGAAAATCCCAGTTTCTGGCACCAACAACCATGCCACCATCAAAGTCACTTAAATCCCCTTTCTTCCTCATTCTGATGCTCGGTTTAAACTTCAGCAGCTTGTCTTCACCATGTCTACATGATTGAATGCATTGAGTCGGCTGAACAGGTGTACCTAATAAATTGGCCTGTGAGTGTATTTTGATGCGGATGCTTTTGTTCTTGTACTTGGGTAAAGTTTTGGATGCAGGACTGTGGCTTGTAACACGGTATTTTGACATTATGCCATAGCTTCTTCTACCGTTGATGTATTTTAAACGCCTCAGTGATAAACTGCCAGCTAAGTGTGTGTCCCTGAAACATGTCTGCAGGGGATCTTTAAACACACCGTGTTTGTTTTTGCACCAGATGGTCGTCTATCTGTGTAACGTGTTGTGTTTGTTAAACCTTTAGGTCTAATTATGGGACTCCTGGTTTCATTTCTTCTGCTGCCCTCTAGCGGATACAGTCAAAAACTACACCATCTCCCATAATGCACTCTGCCGTTTTTATTCCCATCATTCCCCGCTGCCAGCCCTTCGCACCAGTCAAGATGGCGGACAGACCAGGTAATACAGCGTGTCCTCTGCTAAAATAAATCACAAATTTCCTCTTTTATATGATTATTCGTTTGGATATTTTTACTTTGTCACGGGCTGCGTGTGTTTTATCGTTAATCAGACCGTTAATGAGTCGTTTAAAGGTTTTAATCCGACTGTAGGCCGCGATGAATCCGTTAAGTCACGTCAAGGACTTTCCGTGTCATTGCCGGTGTTTTGCAGTTTAAATGAACCTACCGGTCTCATTTGGACACTTAACCTTCATGCTCGGTGATGACAAGCTTTAGATATGACTTGCAGTTTTGACGAAGCTGTCATAATTTAGCTGTATTTGCACATTATAGTTATGTAACCGTTTCTTTGGCTAGCTTGCACGGTAGCCTGCAGACACAGTGACTAACGTTACTCCAAACTATCTCTGTGATTTAATTTAATACTAAAATCAATTAAACGTTAAAAAATAAAACATGAAATGATCGTATTTAGCTTTACAATGGTGTCTTGAACAGTGGGCTAAGAATACTTCATTCATAGTACCTGTCATATAGCTGCACACCTGTTAAATGTCAAATGTGTCAAAAGCTAGCTCGAGTAATTTAGTGTATTTGAGTGTAAATATGAGACACTGCAACTTCATTTGTGTATTTTCAGACTGAATACCTCTGCTTTACAACTTCTCAGATGATGCAATTGGTGAATACTGATTACTTACAGCAAATCAGTGTTTCCTGTATCGATTAGTCCGTCTAATATTATCCAGAATAATAGTTTGTCTATAACAGTGCTTCCCAACCTTTTTCTATCATTGTGTAAACTCATCACCCGATTTTATGTATATTTCACGTCATATTCAGTGCATACCAATAACAATATAGAACTAATGATTAACCCAAATAATGATTGCAATAACTGTAGGAAGTTTGAGTAAAATTTAATCCCTAAAAGCAATTCACCGTCAAAAAATACAACACAGAATAACCTTGCTGTGCTTTACAGCAGGGTTTTTGCACAGTGGGCTAAAAATACTTTATTCATAGTAGCTGCAATATAGCTATAAACCTCTTAAATGTCAAATGTGTCAACAGTTAGCTCCAGGTAGAAAGAAACAAGCAGATTTAAGTGAGGAAGTTAGTGTATTTGAGTGTAAATTTGAGACACTGCAACTTTATTTGTGTTCTTTAGACTAAATACTTTTGCTTAACGACTTTTCAGAGGATGCAGTTGTTGATTACTGATCCCTTACAACAAATAACTGCTTCCTGTATCAGTTAGTCTGCCCATTATTATCTTGATTAATAGTTAAACCTTCTGAGTACCCTGCAGGTCTACTATATATTATATTCTTGCATTTATTTTTATCTTATTTATTACCTGTCTATTTCTGACTTGACTCTAAGTGGGTTTTTTTGCACAATTCCTCTGTACCCAGACTGCGTGTAGGTGTACAAATGGCAAATAAAGTTATCTTATCTTATCTTAGTCTATAACAGTGCTGCCCAGCCTTTTTCCTTAAGGGACCCCTTTTCTATCATTGTGTAAACCCATCACCCATCATATTTTATGGTATTTCATATTATATTCAATGCATACCAACAATACAGAGCAAATGATTAACAGTACAATTAACACAACTAATGAACATAATAACCACAGGAAGTTTAAGTAAAACGAGAGATTTGGATGAGTTTTAAGCACATTATTTCCTGTAAACATTGCATCAGTTTTCCTGAAGTTTTTAGAAACTTTATATGATTCTCTTTATTGTTTATTATTGTCATCATGCATGCATGCTTAATAGGCTTCTTTTTTGATAAATTTGGTGTTTTCTTTTCCCTGACATTTTTGTTCTATTAGGTCTTTGATTATTTTGACTGCATATTTATCTAAAGTAGGATGACGTCTTGCAGTGGGTGGTGGCTCTGTGAATTAAGCTCGTGATCAGGTCCTCACCATGTCCTTAATGTGTGAGATTTTTTTAAAGCTCAGGGTAGAATGAATCTTTATTGTCCACTGGGGTGGAATTTTATATCTTGAATGAAAATCTTAAATTTAAAAATGATAATTTAATTTGTTTTTCATCACTGGCCAACTGTATGTTTTTCTGATAAGTTTCCTTACACCTCTTAAAATCAAGAAAGCCTCATGACCCTCTGTGAAGCTTTGGCGACCTTAGAGCTGAAATTATTTATTGTCTAGTTGTCAACTACTGAATTAATCTCTAACTAATTTGATAATCAATTGATTGGTTTAAGTAATTTTTTTGTAAAGAAACAAAATCAAAATTCTCTGATTTCAGCTTCTTAAATGTGAATATTTTGGGATTTCTGTGCTCCTTTAAGACTGTCTTCAAGTTGTGGACAAATGGATATGTTAAAACACGTCATCTTGGGCTTTAGGAAACACTGATTGACGTCTTTGAGCATTTTCCAACATTTTATAGACCAAACAACTAATCCATTTATCAAGAAAATCATCAACATATTAATTGACAGTGACAATAATCAGCCCTAATAAAATATTTGAAAGTTGTAAAAAAAAAAAAAGCCCATTATGAGTCCTCAAGAGTCCAAGGTGAGATTTTCACACTGGAAATTTTTCGCCATTTTTGATTTAAGCGATTGTCAGAATTTTTGTAAAATACTTTTCTGGTGATCGACTAATCAGTTAAAATACCAATCATCTCAGCTGTGGTAGATTTACTTCATAGCTGCAGATACTGTTACATGACCTCTGGATGAAGTGTTAATTGACTCCCTGCTTAAATCAGAGCGCACTAAAAAAGCCATAGCATTTTTTGCTCAATATGGACAAATGTTTGATCAAACTGTCTTTGCTTTTTCTATTTGTGACCAGTTCCCGTAATTGAGAAGCGACTGTTGGACGTGAAACTGGGTGAGCTGGGAACCTGGCTCGGAGGTCGAAACTTCACTCCCATGGGCCTCATCTCAGCCGTCCGCAGGGGTAAGGAAACATGTTCTGATTAAAACTTTAACCAGTACAATTTTTTATCACAAATAAGGCTTTGTTAGAGGTTATTTTGAATACCTGTAACCATTTTTGATAAAACGGTAGCAGAAGGAAGTGATTATCATACAAAGGAACATGGTGATAAAGAAACTGAACTTGCCTCCTTTTCCAAATTATCAGGGTGCAGTGAGAAAACAAATCTGACTGCACATAAGATATGGAAAGTTTGAAGCTTGAAGTCTTTAAATCTTCAGTTGTTAAAGATGACAAAATCTGTTTTTTTTAGCAGCACAGTTCACAAGAAATCACACCATAAAATTAAAAGTAAACAAGGATAGTGTGGACTTCCACCACTGCATCTCAAAATGTAAACTCAGTGAAAATATTTTGTGCATGTGGTCCGTAAAAAAACTTTTCATGGTCAAAAAACTGTTTTCTCTCCCACTTGCACAGGGATGCACAAATCTGTATTAACAGAGTGGTGTGGCAGCAATCTAACAGAGCTATGTCATAAAAAGTCATAGTATAGTATGTCATGAAAAGTCATGAAGTCATAGTATGTAATTTATCTTTCCTCCAGGCCATGACAGATACTACAGCAAGTACATTGACGTGAAGAGGGGAGGCATCGGCGGTGTAGCTATGGTGCTGACGGCCTATGTGGTATTGAGCTACGTGTGGCAGTACGACCACATCAGTAAGAAATGCAAACACTCCTTTACCCTATTTAAAATGTTTTACCTTTTTACTATAAAGTTGGTCATAGTTTAGTATGCACCTCCAAAAAAAAATCCGAACTATCACTTTAATCGTCCTTTTCTCCATCTTCTCTTCCAGAGCATGATCGCTGGAGGAAGTACCACTAAGCCCCTTCAGTAGCCGTCAGACCTCCGGGGGTTGAACTTGAATCTTTTTGTTCCCCCTCCTCTTTCTACCCTCAGCTGTCTGTGTTGAATTTGTGACTGTTGTGACCAATAAACAATACTAAGATTTATTGTGGATATTGTGTTTGTGTGAGTATAGTATTGCAAAAAAGTCATAGTATAGTATGTTGAAAAAAGTCATGAAAATGTCATTGTATAGTATCTTTTAAAAAGTCATAAAAATAACTTAGTACAGTATTTCGAAAAAAGTCATAGTATAGTATGTAGCAAAAGGTCATAAAAATATACTGTATTGAAAAAGGTCATAGTATAGTATGTTGAAAAAAAGTGTAAAATATAGTATGTCGAAAAAAGTCATGGTATAGCATGTCATATAAAGTCAAAAATGTCACTATAGTATGTTGAATAAAAGTCATAAAAATATAGTATGTCGAAAAAAGTTTATAAAGTCATAGTATAGTATATAGAAAAAAGTCAGTGTAGCATGTCATAAAAAGTCAAAAATGTCAGTATAGTTTGTCGAAAGAAAGTCAATGTAGCATGCCATAAAAAAGTCATAGTATGTCGAAAAAAAGTCAAACATGTCATAGTATAGTATGAGGGAAAAAAAGTCATAGTATAGCATGTTGCAAAAAGTCATAAAAATGTCATAGTATAGTATGTTGGATAAAAGCCATAGTATAGCATATCATAAAACTCATAAACATGTCATAGTATAGTCAGCTGAAAAAAAGCCATAGTAGAGCATGTCATAAAAGTCATAAACATGTCATAGACTAGTATGTCCAAAAAACGTCATAGTATAGCATGTCATAAAAAGTCATAGAAATGTTGCAGTATAGCATGTTGAGAAAAGTCATAGTATACTGTGTCGAAAAAAGTCATTATAGCATGTCATAAAAATATCAGTATAGTATGTCGAAAAAAGTCATAAAAATGTCAACTTTAATGGTATAGTCTGTCTAAAAACGGCATAGTATAGTATGTAGAAAAAAACAGTATAGCATGTCATAAAAAGTGATAAATATGTCATAGTATAGTATGTCGAAAAATAGTTTTTAAAAAAGAGGTCATAGTATAGTATGTCGAAAAAAGTAAAAAAAAAAAAGTCATAGTATAGTATGTCAGAAAAAAGTCATTAAAATCTCATAGTAAAGTATGTTGAAAAAAGTCATAAAAATGTCATAGTATAGCATGTTGAAAAAAATCAAAATGTCATAGCATAGTATGTTAAAAAAAAGTCATAAAAATTTAATAGTATTGTATGTTTAAAAAGGTCATAGGTCATATGTCGAAAAAAGTAAAAGAAAAATGTCATTAAAATGTCATAGTAAAGTATGTAGAAAAAAAGTAAAAAAAAATGTAGTATAGTATGTTGAAAAAAATCATAAAAATGTCATAGTATAGCATGTCGAAAAAAATCATCAAAATGTCATAGCATAGTATGTTAAAAAAAGTCATAAAAATTTCATAGTATTGTATGTTTAAAAAGGTCATAGGTCATATGTCGAAAAAAGTAAAAAAAATGTCATAGTATAGTATGTCGAAAAAAGTAAAACAATGTCATAGTATGGTATGTGGAAAAAAGTGATAGTATAGTATGTCGAAAAATAGTTTTTAAAAAAAAGGTCATAGTATAGTATGTTGAAAAAAGTAAAAAAAAAAAGTCATAGTATAGTATGTCAGAAAAATGTCATTAAAATCTCATAGTAAAGTATGTTGAAAAAAGTCCCCCCCAAAAAATGTCATAGTATAGTATGTTGAAAAAAGTCATAAAAATGTCATAGTATAGTATGTGGAAAAAAAGTCATAGTATAGTATGTCGAATAAAAAAGTCATAAAAATGGCACAGTATAGTATATGTTGAAAAAAGTCATAGTATAGTATGTCGAAAAAAGTCATAAAAATGTCAGCATAGCATGTTGCAAAAAGTCATGGTATAGTATGTCGGAAAAAAGTCATTAAAATGTCATAGTAAAGTATGTTGAAAAAAAGTAAAAAAAAAAGTCATAGTATATAGTATGTTGAAAAAAGTCATAAAAATGTCATGGTAGCATGTCGAAAAAAATCATCAAAATGTCATAGCATAGTATGTTAAAAAAGTCATAAAAATTTCATAGTATTGTATGTTTAAAAAGGTCATAGGTCATATGTCGAAAAAAGTAAAAAAAAAAAGGCATAGTATAGTATAGTATGTCGAAAAAAGTAAAAAAAAGTCATAGTATAGTATGTCGGAAAAAAGTTTAAAAAAAAGTCATAGTATAGTATATTGAAAAAAGTGAAAAAAAGTCATAGTATAGTATGTCGAAAAAAGTTAAAAAAAAATGTCATAGTATAGTATGTCGAAAAAAGTAAAAAAAAAGTCATAGTATAGTATGTTGGAAAAAAGTAAAAAAAAAAAGTCATAGTATAGTATGTTGAAAAAAGTGAAAAAAAGTCATAGTATAGTATGTTGGAAAAAAGTTAAAAAAAAAAGTCATAGTATAGTATGTCGAAAAAAGTAAAAAAAAGTCATAGTATAGTATGTCGAAAAAAGTAAAAAAAAAGTCATAGTATAGTATGTCGAAAAAGTCCTAAAAATGTCATAGTATATGTCGGACAAAAGTCATTAAAATGTCAGTGTGTCGAAAAAAGTAAAAAAAAAAGTCATAGTATAGCATGTCATAAAGTCATCAAAATGTCATTGCATAGTATGTTTAAAAAAATAGTCATAAAAATTTCGTAGTATTGTATGTCGAAAAAAGTCATAAACATGTCGTAGAATAGTATGTCGAAAAAAGTCATAGTATAGTTTTTCGAAAAAGTCATAAAAATGTCATAAATAGTATGTGAGAAAAAAATTCATCGTATAGCATGTCATAAAAAGTCATAAACATGTCATAGAATAGTATCTCGAAAAAAAGTCAGAGTATAACATATCATAAAAAGTCATAAAAATGTCACCCTCAGCTGCCTGTGTTGAATTTGTGACTGTTGTGACCAATAAACAATACTAAGATTTATTGTGGATATCCTGTTCGTGTGAGTTTAGTTTCCAGTTATATAGCTGCACCTACATCCTAGCTGTATTACAGGGACAGTACACCCCTAAATCAAATACATTTTTTACCTGTGCTGTTTATCAATCTAGATTGTTTTGGTGTGAGATGCTGATTGTTGAAGATACTGGCTGTAGAGATAAGTGCCATCTAGTTCCGTAATATTGGAGAGAAGGCAGACATCTCTATTTCCGCTATCTCCAACACTCGGCAACTCACACCAAAACAATTAGATTGATACAGAACCACAGGTAAGAGGAAAAATTCTTGTAAAAGAATTCTTAACTCTCAGAGTGTATCTACCTCACTGTTGTAGTGAGATGAATGCAAGTATAACAAGTCAATTTGTAACAAGAACATTTATTTCTACACACTGTACAGATTGTGAGATGTTCAGACTGTTAACACAATGATGAAGTGAAGAGACCAGGAACCAAACTGCTGTAGCCACACATATCCTCTTGGGTAAAATTTGAATGCTCTTAAATCAGATCAAACAACGCAAGATGTCCACGCATAACTGGTAATTAACAACATCCCAGGATTTAAAACGTAAAAAAAGTCCACAAATGGGAGGTTTCCATTAGAAAGTCTAAAATCTGACAAGTGTGATATGGTGTGTGGGAAGCTGAAGATTTCGGGTGGTGTTTCGAATACAATACAAACCATTGCGGGGTGGATTTGAGCTCCAGTTAATTACAGCAGTTCAAGTACAAGTACAAATGGCATTCATTTACATTCCTCCTGGCATTTATCACGTTTGTTTTTTATTGCATTTACACTGTCAGATTTATCACAAGTAGCAGAATAGAAAGACTGGTCTGGTGTCACTGATGCAGTCACATGACCCAAGGAAATGTACATACTGAAGCAGCACCATGTCACAGCACTGCACCTCTGTTGGACCCTGGGTGTGATGTCTATAAATACTCAGTGTGCTTTACAGTACAAACTTTGTAGAAAACTCTAAGGACTTGCACACAAGTCAGCCAGCCACTCAGATTGTGACTCTTTTTTCTGGTGTTCCTGGATATTTTCATGTACCCACAAAGAGTAGAAATAGTAGCTTGTTTATCGTTCCTCCCTTCTGTGTCTGTAAGACGAGACAGACTCAACAGTGCAGTCAAAGTCTTTATTATCTTCAGTCTGCAGAGCAAAGGATCTTCCTCTCTTCTGCTCACATCAGGATGACTGAGCTACAGCACCATGGTGACCCCAAGGCTGAAGATCACTGTCCACTCAGGAAAGCAAGATGGCCTTTAGTGCATTTATTGGCATAGTGGCCCTTCTCACCACACTGCAGACACAGGGGAGACACAATAAGAAGATATTAATGACTCCTTATTAAAAGCAACAAAAAAAGAGCTAGATGTGGCACAGACAAATGGACAAGGAGCAAATTCTCACATTCGAGATGTGCCAGACAAGGGTTGGAAATTTCCCTCTTGATTTCATATAATCCCCATGTCTAAGATGGCTCATTTTAAGTACCATGATACATACTTTTAAATGTCATAGTATGGTATGTCGAAAAAAGTCATAGTATAGTATTTCGACAAAAGTCATAAAAATGTCATAGAATAGTATGTCTAAATAAGTCATAATATAGTATTTTGAAAAAAAGTCATAGTATAGTATGTCGAAAAAAGTCATAAAAATGTCATAGTATAGTATGTCGAAAAAGTCAAAAAAAGTCATAGTATGTCGAAAAAGTCATAGTATAGTATGACGAAAAAGTCAAAAAAGTCATAGTCTAGCATGTCATAAAATTGTCATAGTATAGTTTGTCGAAAAAAAGTCATAAATAAGTTATAGTATAATATTTCGAAAAAAGTCATTGTATAGTATGTCAAAAAAGGTCATAGTATAGTATATCGAAAAAAGGTCATAAAAAAAGTTGTAGTATAGGATGTCAAAAAAAAGTCATAGTATAGCATGTCATAAAAAGTCATAAAATTGTCATAGTATAGTTTGTCGAAAAAAAGTCATAAATAAGTTATAGTATAATATTTCGAAAAAAGTCATTGTATAGTATGTCAAAAAAGGTCATAGTATAGTATATCGAAAAAAGGTCATAAAAAAAGTTGTAGTATAGGATGTCAAAAAAAGTTCAAGTATAGTTTGTCAATAAAATGTCTTAGTATAGTATGTAAAAAAAAAGTCACAAAAGGTCATAGTATAGTATGTCGAAAAAAGTCATAGTATAGTATGTCAAAAAAAGTCATAGTATAGTATGTCAAAAAAGGTCATAGTATAGTATGTCGAAAAAAGTCATAGTATAGTATGTCAAAAAAAGTCATAGTATAGTATGTCAAAAAAAAGTCATAGTATAGTATGTCAAAAAAGGTCATAGTATAGTATGTCGAAAAAAGTCATAGTATAGTATGTCAAAAAAGGTCATAGTATAGTATAGTATGTCGAAAAAAGTCATAGTATAGTATGTCAAAAAAGGTCATTGTATAGTATGTCAAAAAAAGTCATAGTATAGTATGTCAAAAAAGGTCATAGTATAGTATATCAAAAAAAGGTCATAAAGTTGTAGTATAGTATGTCAAAAAAAAGTTCAAGTATAGTTTGTCAATAAAATGTCTTAGTATAGTATGTAAAAAAAACAAAAAGTCACAAAAAGTCATTGTATAGTATGTCAAAAAAAGTTATAGTATAGTATGTCGAAAAAAGTCATTGTATAGTATGTCAAAAAAGGTCATAGTATAGTATGTCAAAAAAGGTCATAGTATAGTATGTCGAAAAAAGTCATTGTATAGTATGTCAAAAAAAGTCATAGTATAGTATGTCAAAAGGTCATAGTATAGTATATCGAAAAAAGGTCATAAAAAAGTTGTAGTATAGTATGTCAAAAAAAAGTTCAAGTCTAGTTTGTCAATAAAATGTCTTAGTATAGTATGTAAAAAAAACAAAAAGTCACAAAAAGTCATTGTATAGTATGTCAAAAAAAGTTATAGTATGTCGAAAAAAGTCATTGTATAGTATGTCAAAAAAAAAAAAAGAAGAAAAGGTCATACAAATGTCAAAATACAGTATGTCGGAAAAGGTCATTAAAAAGTCATAGTATAGTATGTCGAAAAAGGTCATAGTATAATATGTCCAAAAAAAAAAAAAAAAAAAAAAGGGTCCCAGTATAGTATGTCAAAAAAGGTCATAGTATAGTATAGTATGTCGAAAAAGTCATAGTATAGTATGTTGCAAAAAGTCATAGTATAGTATGTCAAAAAAGTTCATAAAGAAAGTTGTAGTATAGTACGTAAAAAAAAAAAAAGTCAGATGTCGGAAAAAGTTCAAGTATAGTTTGTCAATAAAAAGTCACAGTAAATATGTCAGCAAAAAGTCTAATAATTCTAATTTGGCTCCTGGTGAAAACTTCGTGGACGTCTGGATCTTAAATGGTCAGAGTAAAAAAGTGACCACACACTAGCCCGTGCTGGGTTAGCAGCCTGTCTCCAACAAGCTTAACACCTAAACACTAATCTGTACTGTGAAAATGCTTTATTCTTTGTTTTTACCTGTGTTTATCACCTGATCTGTTTGTTTTGGAGAGGACGAGACCTCTGTAGATAATTTGACTCTAAAAACCTCCTGAATGATGAACACTGAAGGAATTTCAGCTTGTTGCAATCTGCAAACCTCACTGAGAGATGCCACTAAATCCCTCTATATCTTGCACACTGAACCTTTACATGAGAAAAAAATAAAACGTCTGCTGGCAGTAGCTTCATATTTACTGTACAGACATGAGAGTGGTGTTGATCTTCGCATGTAACATATTTCTTAAAATGTTAAACTACTGCTTCAAGGTGTTACGCATTAGATGTTATGTCTAAAACTGATTTTGAACTCACAAAAGGGTCATTAGCAGATAAATGATCAGATGACTCACTTTATAGCAGGTGACCTGGTCCAGTGGCCGAGGCCCTCTGTTGCCGGTCATGTTATTTTGCTGAGGAGCAGCCATTGCTGTGTGGTTCTGCGGCCGCAGGCCTGGACTGGAGTTGGTCAGTTGGATTAGGGAGAGTGACGAGCGACCGATGGTAGGCACAGGCTGCAGCAGGAAAAACACAAAGAGACAAATCAGCTTTTGCTCTGCTGTTAAGCCACCAGTGGTCAGGTAGATAACATGGAGCAGAGGTGCTGTGTGTATTCAGGTGTTTCCTCCTTACCTTCGTCTGGTTCTGGATTTGCTGTGGTAGAGGAGGCTGTTCAGAGGCTCCCATAGGCAGCTCAAAGCGAGGGCTGTAGAAGAACATCTCACTGTTAAATCTACGTTACTGAAAGGTGAAACTAACTCAGCACATTTGGTCAAGAAATATTTTACTGGATGACATAAGTCATGAGAAAATAAGACAGAAAGAACTATCCCAAATTACAAAACCAAATGCTAAAACAAGTCATAAGTAGGGATGTCCCGATCTGATCTCACAGCAAAGCAACAAGTGCAGCCATCATCAGCTACGTCTCCACCAGTCAACACCCTGCCCACCACGAAACATCACACACCATAAACGACAGTAAAAATATATACTGATGTTATGCATGTAAGTTCGGAGCACTTGTTTCAGCTCAGTGTGAGTCTTTCGTGTTTTACTGTCATCTCTGGGGCATGGTGTTTCACCACGAGCAAAGAAGAGACAGACAGTGGTCTGTTACATTCAACACACCACTGTGGCAGATAAAGCCAGAACTGGCATTGAATTATGACGATTTGCATTTTTGTAGGAATATTTTTAGCATATGAATGTTAGGTTGTATGATGTATTTCTGTGGCTGCAGTGTAGGTGTAGGGACAATAAAGTTAATCTTGATCACTGCAAGTACAACAAAAGCCCCGTGAGCAAAACGCAAATTCGAGTGGATTAGTCTATTAATCTTATTGGTGCGGAAAAAAACAAAGACTCAATGAGATACAGTTCATTAAGGTAACAAAAGGCTGCATCAAAGCAACAGTTACAAAGGGAATATTCTCTCAAAGGCTAAAAGAAATTCCCTTGAGACAGCTGTAAAAGATAGAATTAAAAAAACATAAAGAGAACAGCTTGAATGCAGAGTTTGTTTCCTTGATGCATTGCAGAGTTATTAAATTATCCTACATATACACTGGATTGAGGAAAAAGGGGAGTGCTGCACTGAGTTAAGGCTCTGTGTAGTTAGTTGTAAAAAATATTCAGTGCTCTTCAAAGACGGGACAAAGATTCACTTAATGATAAAAAAACGACGACATATAGTACAGGCAGGCAGTCCAGAAATTCATCCGAGGCACTCTGACTGTAGTTAAAGGATTTTTAACTACAGTCAGAGTGCCTCAGATGCATGCCTGTACTATGGACTTTTACACTGAGTGAGCTGGCCAGGCATTGTTCTTTTATCTTTAAATATAAAGTAGATTGATTTTAATAACTTGACATGTGCCCTGTGCAGCTGTACTATCTAGGAGAATCGAGGTATCTGATCAGGACTCTATCTCTAGCATTAAGTTTTACTATTACATGACTCAGATTGGGGGCATAAAATCTTGATCAGGACATCTCTACTCATAAGAGATGTCTTTTCTTTTACTTGCAACCATAACACATTATATTTTATAAGATGTAAAAAAGGATAACGTACTGCATAAATTTACAGGATTTCCCCTCTGGACAGAAGCCCACGAGGTAATTCATACAGATCACTCTTCTCGTGTGTCTGTGTCTGCAGTCAGGACCTGTGACAGGAAGATGGAAGATGGAGAGAGATCCACAACAGAGAGTAAAGAGGCTGTTTTGTTGCTGATGAAGACATTTAAACCAGCAGGGAGGACTGTGTATAACTGTATGTTTAGGGGGTGTTAATATCAGTGCAGCTGGAGTGTTCATGTGAGCAGGACGCACCGTGTTTGCAGAAGCCTCGGTCATACCAGGGACAGTCTTTGATCTTGGACTCTGGATCAATGTGCAGGAATGGACATTCCTTGTTGCTACACTCACCTGCGAGGGGCAACACACACATTATAAATGTAAACAAACACACTCTTTATATAACAATGCAAATACAGTCACTGAACTTTATGAAACATGAAGTCAACGAACCAAACTTGGAGTAGAAGTAGCATTCAGGCATCTTGGTCATGTCGTATTCGTGGAGGAACTCGCACTGGTCTCCCTTCTTACACAGTCCTCTGAGCCAGTGCTTACACACCACCGTCTTCTCTCCGCTGATGTGACGGAACGGACACATCCCACCTGGGAGTGCAGACGAAAACAGATATAACACCTTCCCAAGTCATGCTCTCAGGGCAGCCAGTGTCTTGCCGATTGCTGACCTTTTTCACAAATAAGGATTTTGGTGGATTTTTTTTATGCCTTGGTTTACACATGAAATTAACATATTCAGCAGGTTTTTTTCCCCGTGGCTCAATTTTACATGCTGGAGAGAAGAATGTAAAAAGCAGAAATGCCACCCTGCCTGTAGAGCAGCAACGAATAATCTATTAGTTGTCAACCATTACATTATTCAGCAACCAATTTTATTATCTTTTCATTTAATTGCTTTGAGTTATTTTTTTAGGGAAAAAAATAAGTTAAGATTCTCTGATTCCACCTTTTTAAATATTATTTTTTGGCGTTTTTGCCTTTAATCTATAGGACAGTTAAGCATGAAAGAGGGAGAGAGAGGGAGTGATACACAGCAAAGGGCCATGGGCTGGAATCGACCCAGGGCCGCTGCAGCGAGGACGAAGCCATCAACACCCTGAATGTACTACAGGCACTAAGCTCTATGTGTGTATAATGGGAATGAGAAATTTACACAGTTTTTTTTTGCGATTTTTGTGAAAACAACTGGGTGAATCTCTAAAGTCACAGTGATCCATTTGCCTATGTGTTAGCAACGCTGCAAGACGAGTTTCACAGCAAAATTTATACAGTAGATGAATAATATTAATAATATACGCAACAGATTATATATATATTTGCCTTGCTGTTGCACAGAAGGCACCCAAACAAGACATTTGAGGACGTCACCTTGGTCTCTGGGAAACTCTGATAAACATTTTTTACCATTTCTAAACATTTTATAGACCAAACAACTAATCAATTAATTAATCAATAGCTTAATTTATAATAAAAACAGTCGTTGCAGCCTTAAGCTACTGTAGGCTTTTATTCATTTCATTCATTGATTTATGAGCAGTGAATCTCAGTTTGTATTTGAATATGACAACTTATCCTTGCCTGGTTAATTTATCTATAGGGGTCTAATGTAAAGATGTGGGAAGTGTAGTGATTTTAAAGCTTGACATGTACTGTAGAAGTCAGGGTAACTCTGCTGCTTCAGTTTTGACCATTTATTAAAATCCATCTCTTGTGAGCACCCAACCTTTAAGGAAGTGAAACACTGAAGTGATGGACTGTTGTCACGGTGTGTTTTTACCTTTCAGACAAGCTGCTCTCATGAAGAACTCACACACAGCAGACCCGGACTCTGCAGAGACACACATTACAACCTTGATAAACACATGTCAACACAACGCTAAGAGATGTCACTGTCAACCTGCCGTTAGCTACCATAGTTGCTATCGATTACTCTCACTATTGTTTAGCTAACTACATGCTAGCATCCGAGCACTTACTGTCCATGCCGGGGAAGGGCAGCGGCTGTGCTCCTAGCTGCTGCTGCACAGCGAGCTCCAGGTCAAACTTGAGGTGATCCACGTTAGCCAGCATATCCTGCATGTTTGCGGTTGTTTGTTGTGCTCCGGTCAAAGGAGAAATGGGAGTTTCGGTTAGCTAGCTAGCTAGCTTGCGATGGAGCTAGCAGGAACTTTCTCCAACAGCCAGCTAATGTGGCTAACGAGGCTAGCGACTACACGATAAGCTAACAACGATCACCGAGCTCCCCGATGAGAAACCACAGTGGCCGCTGTTGTTTGTAGCTTCACTGGCTTGTTTTAAGGAAAACCTCTGGACATCAGTCGGTCTGTAACTTTTGTTTGTAACGAAGTGCTTCTTGTTCTTTGCTGTGGATTGATGGAGGGCGCGCGCTCACTGACCTCTGACCGGACGGAGTTAAGGCAAGACTAAACGATCACCGAGCGGTTCGTTGAACTCACAGCACAGTATTATGGTGGTTTGGTTTTTACAGGTTTAAATTAATCATTTTAAACTCAAATAAAATGTATCAACAATATATTACCAACAAATATATAATTGCAAAAGAAAAAAACGGTAATAAGTTCCCCAAACAAAGGTCACGCCTCTATTATTTATTTTTCATATTATTCAAATATGTTTTTGTCAAGTGATGTCTTTTTAATGTTTTCTTAAATGTTCTATATGACGATTTAAATGTCACCCTCCAGAAAAAGTTTGAAAATAAATAAATAAAAAGTGTAATAAGTTTCCCTAACAACCTTTACCCCTCTGAAAACGAAACTGACTAAAAATAAAAATAAATTAAATTTTTTCCCCGATTTAAGATTTTTTTTCCATATTCTTCAAACATATTTGTGACATGTGATGCCTTATTAATGTTTTTTAATAAAATATGAAAATAGTTGTTATATACGTTTAAATTTCCCACATGATGATCTAAATATCACCCTCTACTTGTTGCCAGAAAAAGTAAAAATAAATAAATAAATGCATAAATAAATAAAGTGTAATAAGTTCCATAAACAACCTTCACTCCTCTGACAACCAAATGGACTAAAGGTCAAAATAAATTTCTTTTTTTCCCCCGAATTATTTAGATTTTTTTAAAAATGTTTTTTGACATTTGATGTCTTTTTGGAAGTTTTAAAAAAACATTTAATTAACCATTATATGCATTTTAGTTTCCAACATGAAGATCTATGTTACTTTCTTCATGCTGCAAAAAAAGTTTATGACAGAAAAATAAATTTAAAAAAATGTATTAAGTTGCTCAGTCTTTACCCCTGCAGAAACTCTTGGAAAAAATGGACTAAAGATTAAAATAAATTTCCATTTCCTCCGAATTACTTAAATTTTTTTTCATATCCTTCAAAAAAATTTTTTTTTTACATTTGATGTCTTTTTAATATTTTTTTAAATATTCAACTGTCATATACGTTATTTCCTACTTGACGATCTAAAAAGTTTTTTAAAAAAAAAAAAAAAAAAAAGTAATTAGTTCCCCAAACCAAATGGACCAAAGATAAAAAAAAACCTTTATTTTTTTTTAAAATAATTAACCATTATATAAATTTTAATTTCCAACATGATGGTGTAAATGCTACTTTTTTCATGCTGCAGAAAGTTAAAAAAAAGAAGTAAAAAGTGCAATAAGCTCCCAATCTTTGCCCCTAAAAATGAAATCAACCAAAAATCAATAAATTCCCATGTCCTCCATATTATTTAGATTTTTTCCATATTCTTCAAATGTTTTGTGACTTTTGATGTCTTTAATTTAATTAAGTTATATACGCTTTGATTCCCTACAAGACAATCTAAATGCTGCAGATAAAGTTACTAAAGAAGTGTAGTAAGTTCTCCAAACAACCTTTACCTCCCTTTTTTTCCATATTATTCAAATGTTTCTGAATTTTGATGTCTTATTTTTATTTATGTCACCCTCTACATGCTAGCTCAAAATATTTCTATAGTTTTTTCATAGAAGAGGTTTTGGTTTAAAAGGAGTCTGCACCATTTTGCAGTAACTGAAAGAACATAGACAGAAGCAGTTGTTTCATTCATTATGGATTCTTTAATTGAACCAAACAATAATTTATCACATTGTATTTATGTATACAGTATACGATAAGAGAATGCCCATGTAAGAAACCAATAGTCATCCTTCGTGTTTTGGAGTACTGCGTGTGAGAAAATCATAAATTTAATACAAAAGAACCAGTGATTTGTGACAAGATTAAAGCTTAAAAGTACAGTGTCAACATTAGATAACTGGAGAACAATGACGTCTGCAAATCCTTCTGTCCACGCTGAGACTGAGCTGTTGTGAGGTCGTGAGAAAGCGTCTTGATTTGAGCACAGATTTAACAGGTGTACACTTACAACAAATACACACATGAAACAACACCCCATTATATTTGGCTCAATAGTGTTTGTCACAATCATCAGTCCAGCATCCTTCAGTGTCTGACCCGCTGCCCTCTACAGCTCAGGTAGGCCAGGCATGGGGAACTGACCGGCAAAGGCCTCCACCTCCAACCTGATTTCTGATACCCGCTTCTGGAACTTCTCTCCCTGAGACAGTGCCTGAACAAACTCCTTCAGAGTGGCCTTGGGATCCAGGCTTCTCTGTATCTCCAAGGTCAGCTCGATACCTGCAGGAGGAAGGAAAGCAAGTTCAATTAAGTGACATCATGGTTTTTTTTTGGTGAATAGTTTTAAATACTACAGCAGCTATAAGGCTCAGTTACCTGAGCTACAGAGAAAAAGCTAATCAGCAAATTCACCATTTCATCTTTGCAATTGAGAACAAAACACCAAAATGTAACTGTGAAATTATTAAAACGCTGAATGTATGACAGAATTTCTTTGAGTGAAATCTATTTTTTTAAGCCAAAGATTTGTTTGATTTAAACTTGAAGAGAACATGGAAGAAACTTGTAACTTTGCACACAAAATGCCCACACATAGACCCCTTTGACACAAATTTTCATGGTCCGAAGAACGAGTCCACATCGGTATTTTGACATCTCAATATAGCAACAAATTGCAACCTTGGCTTGCCATCTCTCTCCGATTCTGCTGATGTTTAAGCTTTTGAAATTTGGCACAACATCAAATCACACCTTGTACATTTAGCAGGAAAATGGACATGTCCATGTTTATACCCTTTGACAACACATTCTCACTCCGACCTTGTCACATATCGTTTGGTCATGGACTTTCCACGTCCACATACGACGTGCAAGGTACACATCACCAGGTACTGACATCACCTGGCACCATTAAACTATAACGGCAACCAGCTGCGTATCATGCCAACGTTAAAGGATGGCTTTTTTTGTTGGTTTCTGACGCCGCAAGTGACTACCCAAGTGCCGGATTTCAATGATTTCGCAGTGAGACCAGGCTCACTTTGAGGGACTGTCTGGGGTCCCAAAACCACCCATTCTGCACTTTTTTCCCTTTTAAAAAGGAACAGTGTAAAATATTTAGGGGGACTTAGTAGGGTCTAGCAGTGAGGACTGCAGACTGCAACCAGCTGAAACATCTCCTGATTCAAATAATTTTAGTGTTCATTGTTTCAGATGTTTTTAGTAGAAGTCAAATTATCTGCAGAGGTCTCCTACTCTACAAAACAAATGGAGATGATAAAATGGTGATACAAACTGGAACAAACACAGAATAAAGCAGCTTCATGTTAAAAAAAAAAATCAGTGTTTTTCTGACACTCTACTCGCGGAGGGGCTGGTAACTATGGTGGCTGACTTGTTTAGGCAAATAGCCCTGTCTAGAGCCACTGTTTGGTTTGTACCTTCGAGGATGCTGTAGAAATAAGGTGGTGCAACATGATGATCTCCGTGCAACATGATGATCTCCGTGGATGAGGTCCCGCTTCGTAAGCAGATATAAACCACTCATTCTAAGGTAAGGGAAACGCTTCAATTCTTATTTTCAGATGATTAAACACTAAAGAAAACATATAATTTGGATCTCCTGTACGCTGTTTTGTCTGAGTCACTATCAAATTTCATGGCTCTAAAAGTTATATTTCTGAAGATAATGGTCGCTAAAATGCCTTCCTGTCTAACTTGGGTTTTTTTGGTAGCTGAAATGACAAAACTCCCAGGGGCAAGAAACTATGCAATTCTCAAAATCAGTGACATTTTACAGAATTTATTTAGTTATTTATTTATTTATTAAGTTTAAACAAAATCTAAAACTTTAATAAAAACCTCTCATTTGACCTGGAATGACCCCATGGGGCTTTTAGAAGCTTACCTCTGTTAATGAACCCAGCCACCTTCTTGAAGTCTTCCTCCACCAGGCCTCTGGAGGTCAGAGCTGGAGAGCCAAACCTCAGACCACTCGGGCGCAGAGCACTCTTATCCCCTACACAAACACATGTGTGTGGAAATATTAAGACTTCACAGAGACAAAGGATAAACTACTTTGCCACAAGATTACTCACGCTAAGGGCAAACACAACTGCATGTTTATCATGCCAGTTCTAAAACACACACTCTACCTGGACAGGTGTTCTTATTACAAGCAATGGCACAGGCTTCCAGAACCTTCTCAGCTCGCCCTCCATCAGTTCCTTTGCTGCGCAGATCCAGCAGGATCAGGTGGTTGTCAGATCCGCCTACACAGCAGAAGAGAACATGTGTTAAACTACAGAGATGATAAAGTTATTAGCTGCTATCAGCCGTCTTTTCAACTATACTAATGGAAAACAGACATGCAGCATGGTATACAGGCAAGTTTTAACAGTTATTGTCATACTTCTCTTTGTGGTTAATGCAATTTGCTTCTGTACAAATGACAACTGATACTGAAGATATGTTTCAGGTCCATTTGTGTTGGTAGAGTGGACCTGTGGCACTCACCAGTAACAATCTTGTAGCCGTGGTCAATAAGAGCGCTGGACATAGCTTTGCAGTTAGCGAGGACCTGCAGCTGGTAGGCCTTGAACTCTGGTGTCATGGCTTGTTTGAGTGCGACAGCAACACCTGCCAGTGAAACATGAACTTTGATGAGATCGATGCTGACGTACTCGAATGACAGTCGAGATGTTAAAGAGAGAAAACTGATGAGGTGTACCTGCGATGGCGTGATTGTGTGGTCCTCCCTGCAGTCCAGGAAACACAGCCTGGTTGATCAAAGACTCCAAGTTATACAGAGTCTCCTTCCCCTTGGCGTCCACACTTCGCACACCTGGAGGAAGGAAATAGAAAGGCAGAGAAAAAGAAAAATGGAAAAGATGAACAGAAAGAAAAGAAACACTGATAACCAAACTAAAACTACACGTGGTTTGTCTTTGCAGAAACATATTTCATTTCTACCTTTCCTGTAGAAGATGAGTCCAGCGCGGCAGCCACGCAGCGTCTTGTGTGTCGTCGTGGAAACAA